ACCAACGTAGAATCCAAGAGATTCTACGTTGAATTAATTAATGAGTAAAAACCATCTGGGTGATGTAGGTTTTTGTTTTAACTACCTATTTTGCCATCAGTACACAATTTATAGATATTATCTATTTCTTTTCCATAAGTTTCCCCCGAGATACTTTTAATCTTCCACCTCTCTGGCATTATATGGGAAAGAGAATAAAGTGAACTAGTCTGTGAAAATCTGAAGGATTTATGTGAATTCCTCACTCATGAACCTACAACATCTTTTCTGCACAGGGAAACACCATTTTCTGAGCAGTGAACTCAGAGGACCGTAATTCCAAAATTACTTTGCTTCTCGCTGTGGACTAAGAGGAAAGCCTTGTGGTGGCTGTTTGCAGGAGTGGGTACCAACATCACAGAAATAATGAGTCTGACCGCAGACTGTAGTGGTCAGAGGGATATGTCCCTTCACAGCTCCTCTCTGCCCAGCTTCTGCTCCACACTGTCCTGAGTGACTCAGGACAGCCCTGCTGGGCCTGACTCCCTGGTTGTCCTGGATGTGCAGCACGATGGCACTCAAACCCAATCCTAAACTGATATCCCTACATCCAAGGAACTGCAGAGCAGCACTGCTGACTCCCACAGGGAACAGTCAGGATGAGGCAATGTGTTGTCTTCACTGGGGATTTACTGCAAAGGAGAAGGGTGAAAAGATTTAAATAGTGTCAGAAGGAAGCAATTAGTGTAGATCCAAAGTCAGCTCACACTTGCTCTCCCATGCCAGCTGGCACAGGCCTGATCTGCGACACTCAGCACTGCAAACATTTTCCTGGATGAACTTTTTGGAGTCGTGTTTCAAGGACTGAAGTGTTCATGGGTGTTCATTTCCATAATGACTCACTGAACACAAGAAGCTTTGTTTTCTTCCTACATGGTATGCTGTAAATCAGAAGTGACTTGACCAATTTTCTTTACACACACAGTCAAGAGATACACACACAGGTGGGCATGTATGGACAAGTATGTACATGTGAATACATGGGTACATAGACACACACACACACTGTCAGTCCAAGAGGTCCACAACCATTTCCTGGCATAGCTGAGACTGTTCCTGCTGATCCAGAAGCTACATCTGAATCATCCCAGATCTGTGCCATGAATGATCATTTTGTTGAAAGGGACTTATGACTTTAAGGAGGCATCACAAAGTAAAGGAGAGAGTTTTCTTTAAAGAGATGTGACTTTATTCATCTTTGCATTCCTGTCAGGAGAAATAAAAGGAAGAAGCTTCTTTTGAAGAGAGGAGACACCAGTATGTTTCTAAAACCCCTGAGATGCACATGAAAAAAATACACCAGCCAAATCTTGATCACGTTCATACTTTCATAGTTAGTGGAATGACATATAATATCACTACTAGGATGACAGGATAATCTAGATTGTAAGAGACATCCAGTCCAAGCCCCCTACTTGCAGCAGGCTCAGCTACGATCACAGAGAACGTTGCTCAGGGCTTTATCCAGTTGGGTCTTGAAAAATCTCTGGAGATGGGAGGTTGCACACCCTCAGCAGGAAACCTGCCCCACTGCTTGACTGTTTTCCTCAGCAAAAACTTTATTCTTATATCTGATCTGGTCCTTTCTTTTCACAACCTATGCCTGTTGTCCTCCTGCCCCACAGCACTGTGAGGGGCCTGGGTCTGTCACCAACCTTGTAGGTACTGACAGGCTGTTATTAGGTCCATCCAAAATCTCTTCATTCTGAAACAGCTCCCCCATCACCTCTGCACGTGGCAAGTGCTCCAGGCTGGAGCATTTTGGTGGCCTGTGGCTGACCTTGCTCTGGTTTGATACTGTCTTGTACTGGGGTCACAGGGAGCTCCTCCCTCTGGAAACCCAGGAACCTTGGCCCAGAAATTACCTGGGCCAGGGCTTCTCTGTGTGCTCTTGTTCCTGTCCTCTTGTCCAGCCAGGGTTTTAGTCTCTGAGCTGGGATGATCCCTGAAGGATGCTTTAGGTTCCCAGGTAGCCATAGGCTTATTGGCACGTGCCAATACAAATTTGGAAATGCATGTCTTCTTGACATAAGGGTGTGTGGCTCACCTCCAGTTCAGTCACCATCTTCATCAAAGGCTACTCTGGGAGAATGGAAGCTCTTGTTTATCTGTCTTGCTCCCAGTTATTTTTCTCCTGGGATGATTTCCAAACAGCTTAACTCAAACGAATCCATTTCTGAGCAGCCCCATGACTTGATCCCATGCCATGCCTTGGGACAGCATCAGCAGCTGCTTTGGCTGGTGCTTTGTGGAAAGGTGGGCATTTTGTCACCTCAGCTCTGATGTGCTAAATGTTGCTGGTGACAGAAGTCAGCTCTCCGCCAGTGGAACCAGACAGAGCAGCACAGACAAGAGCATCACCACTGCTACCAGGCAAATGAGCTGGGAACTTCTTCCAAACTCCTGTGGGTGAGAACTTACAGAGTGGAAACGGCTGGTTTTATTTTCTAGAATTTCTTTGTACTAATAAAATAAAGAGTGGAACATTTTTATCCTGGGGCCATGTCTAACAGCAGAGAGAGAGTCCTTCAGAGTCTCATTTCTTTGGCCAGTGAAAACCTTACTGGCTTCAGTGCACTTTGCATGGAACTCATTGCTGGAATAAAACCCCCACCGCAGTCCCTCCAAGTGTCCTAGGCTACCTGGATCTCCCTGCACTGTCTGTAGATAATAGAGTCCTGTTGGCAGAATCCTGGATTAGCTGACTTGACCCTGTCCAATTCGATTTCTCCCTAGGGAATATCAGAGAAGTAGCTGGGTAAGTGTACAGGTGTACAAGACATTCCTAAGTGACAATTTTCACCTGGAAGAGCTTAGAAAAGGTGGGACATGTGCACAGGGTATGCAGCTGCTTTTCTGGACAGAAAACTAGGAGGCAGTTGGGATTCCTGGGGCATCTGAAATGGTGGTAGAATCATATATTTAGGCAACTGAATCAAGCCCTCAGTGAGGGCAAGAGGTGTATTCCACCAAGCAAGGCCAAGAACTCCTCCTGAAGCAGGTGCCTCCTGAGGGCCAGCTAAGAAGTTCTGCAGACTTCACTGCACAATTTCCTTGGGTATGTACCAAGTGTAACGGGACAGCAGCCACCTGACTTACCGAGACCAAATTTAGGTGCCTTCATCTATTTTTTGGTCTTAGATGTTCAGTGGATATTTATTTTAAGTGAAAACAGGGCATTGCAGAAATAGCCCTGAAAACACTGTTACAAAGTCCTGGTGTCCTGGCATGGATATATTCCAGTGGTTTGCTGTGAGGTGAACTCCAAGCTCTAAAGGACCATGTGAAATCAAACCCTGCAGTTAAATTTCTAGTGCCAGAGACATGAGTTCACTTCTTCAGCTACGGAATTTCTTTTCAGCTCGGGCCTGCTGGATGTCTGGATGTCTGCTGCACTCCTGGTGGTAACAGTAACCTGCAGTTTCTGACAGGATCTTCTGCATTGCAAATCCCTCTCTTATCCCAGCATGGCCTAGACCAGAGCAAACAGGGAGATAATCTACATGGTTCTGACCTGTAGATGTATCTGTCCCTTCAAACACAAAATGCTGGGGCCGTGCATCCCTATTGTGATGCATTTGATATATAAAAGCACTGACCTGGTCCTCTCTCATCAGACACTCAAATCTCAAAATCTCAAATCTCCCTCTGTTATCTCATTGAGGCATAGGCAAATGAGTTAGGAGGGTGAAAAATTACAAACTTTTAATTTGTTAATTTAAATTTTCTGTTTGTGTCCAACAAGCTCCAAGTTGAATGTGACTGAGCTGTTAGGATAGGATGCCTCCACGAGCAGGGGATTAATATCAGTGTCTTCCAAGATATCTTCCAGCCCCTGAAAACTAGACCAATATAAATCTGGAGATTTAAATTGAGCTTGTACTGGAAAGTCCTATAAAACATCTGAAGAAAATTCAGAGTAAGCTTGATAAAGTAGAAAGATCAAATTACTACACCTTTGGTGTGATACAGGTAATGGGGAATGTATTAAACAACTTGCTTTTTTCTTCCTGCTGTTGCAAAGCCTAATGGAAGGAAGAGGAGCACAGAGGGACAGGGATCCAGTGTAACACCATGAGCTCAGAAGGGAGGCAATTCTTCCTGCATTTAAACATCCTCTTGCTCAGATTTTACCATGAGGTGGTTCCTCTTCTTGGCTCCTTATCAAACAGGCTTTCCTTCCCTGATTTTAGATACAAAACCACTGTCAAGACAGGTGTCCTCTTCTTTTCCAGCATAAAGAAAACGATGCCTGGTTTTATTGAAACCAACCCAGAGTAGTGTTTATTATTGAAAATATACAGTATTTTTGAACATCACATAAAAAGCCTGGTAGATACATTTGCTCTAGTTCAAAATGCTCAGTAGGTATCTTTGTGCAGTATGTAGCACTATCCTCTTAATGCAAATATCCTCTTCTCATTACTATTTTTACAGTGCTTCCCTTTTGTATTTTTTAAACCCAGAAAAGATGTTCTGTTTTCCTTCCCCACCCCGATCCTCTGAGCTGAAAAAAAACCAGAGACTTCCCAAAGGCTACTTACATTGTGCCAAAAGCGTGGGGCTAAGAGGAATAAGGATATTTTGTAGAGCACTTAGAGCTATTGCTGTCCTTTGCAAAATCTGTGTGTGCACAGGACACGGTGCTTGCAAGGCAAAGTGCCCCGTGTTTAACAGTCCAGTGATGCCCTGACAACTCCCAGTCTACCAAAGGGAGGAATGGGGAAAGTAGATAAATTTGGATTTTTCACACCAACTTCCAGACGCTCTTTTTGTGCTGCCACAAGTTCTCAAACGACAGTTCTGCAGAGAAGAAACTTTTTACAAAGAAACAAGAAAAGGGGTGGGCTATTATACACCAAACTGTTGAAATCATTGGGAATCAATGTACAGGGTGAGATGGGCAGTATGTTAAAAACAGTCTTTGTTCACCACAAAAAAAAAAAAAAAAAAAAAAAAAAAAAAAAGGAGAAAAAAATTGATTGTTCCTGCCAGTGTGCTGTTTCAGACTTTGCATTGTGAACTTCCACAAAGTGCAGTCAGGGTTGAACCTGTTTCTTCTTTGAATCTGTTTTACCACCACCGACTCCAAGAGGCTTTTGCCTGGTTGCCTTAAAAGCAGCATCACGGATACGGGAGATGAGAGTCCACAGGAATATGCCGGGCACCTCACTGAAAGGAGATCAGCGAGGACAGAGGAAGAAAGTTTGCAGAAAGGGGCTTGGGAAGAGTGAAGATCTCCGAAGGCCACCGGGTGGTGCGGGTCTGTGCGGGGCGGGTCACACGGCCGCGGTCTGTTTGATGCTGTGGAAGCTGATCCGTGTGGGAGAGGTGGGGATGGACATGGCCCGTGCCACACGCACTCGGAGGGAGTGATGGTCCTGCCAGCGGTGCCACCTCTTCCTGGCAGCAGAACGGACCTGGAGGAAGAAAGAGGAAAGAAAGTGAATCCTTGGAATACTCAGGTACCCTCTGGGAAGGGACGCTGGACAGCGCTGTGAATCTGAAAAATCCGGTATAATGAACTGCCCAGAGGCTTTTGATCTTTGAGCAGCAAAGGTATTATTGACAGCTCTGGGAGCAAGCCAGCTATTGCTGGACAAACTTGCTCGAAGGCTTCACACCAAAATCAGCAGTTTTTATACAATTTTCATATATGATTAAGTGCGTATTCATGTGATTACAACAACTATCTACACATATTAATAACAGACGGAGTATAGGTGGAGCTCAGGTGGGGCTTGAGGCAGTGCTTCTCTTGGCCCCCAATTTTGGTGGAAGATCCATTCTTCCTCCCATGGGTCTGGGGCCTAATTCTCATCTTCCTCAGCTTGACCTCCCTTCTCTTCTATTGTTATCGACCCGCTCACTGAAGCTTGGAGAAGGCCTTGGCCCCAGGTCCGTCTCTTCTATTTAAATCTCTACTTTATCTTACTGCATCTTAATTTATTACCTCCAGGCCTATTCTATGTTTCTTTTACCATTCTTTTAAGTTTTGGTCCAGTAGGTAGGACAGAACGAGTACAGATCGTTTAGATGTTCATAGCTTGTTAGCAGGCCCAAATTTCTCAGTTAACTCTTTTGGGCCTGGCCTCCTGTTTCAGCTGGGACAAGCGATGATGTGTGCCAGGGCACTGAAACATGCAGGCATTGATTCAGATGCCTAAACAGGGGTGTCTAGTTCATTGATATCCTCTTGGGTACTTTGGGAAAAACATGACTTTCACATATGTCTCATATCTGATGTCTTCAACACCCCAGAGCATTTCAAATGGCAACAAAGGCCTAAACTGAATCAGCGGAATCAAGCCCTTGAGACGGATGCACCCAAAGGATGGTGCACCTAAGGCCTCTCTGAGAGCTGATGGAGGTCTCAGCACTATCACAGGGGCTACAGCTGCCCCTGCTTCCCTTGTGTCTGAGGAATCACAGGTGATCTGACTGTGCGTTGGTTCTACAGCACAGACACACCTGACTCAGCCCTGTGAGCATCTTGTGCAGCAGGCAGGGCAGAGCTGCTCTGCAGTCAACAGAAGCTCATCCTCAAGCAAGTGCTGACAAACGGGCAAGATTAATCCTCAACTGAAGTGCATATTTTTTTACATGGAGCACAGAGAGAGCCCAGAAACTTTAGCTCAAATATATACTTATACAAGCAAGAGGAGAACAGGAAGAAGGAGTCCTAGCCTCAAACACAGCGGGAGAAAAGGCTTGAGGTACTCCTAATTTAGACCACGACCAAATCCCTGGCAGAGAAGACTCGAAGTCATAACCTGGAATGAAGCACTTAAACTAATTTCTGAATATTCTTGCTGATCTCTGCTTACTGTAGAGAGGAAAACAATTAAGACCCCTAACCTAGGCAGCTAAGTAAGCCTACAAAATTAGGGGAGATGAATCTGGGCCCAACTTCTTGGACAGTCAATGAGTCTGATGACACTTGGAAAAGATGTTTACATTCTGCTGCCAACCTGAAATCCAGTGAACTTTCAAAAAAGAGCATTTTTACATACAACCTCTATATCAAGACAGGGCCTCCTTTGCCAAAATCACATTTGTTTAGAAGATGGGGTTATTAATAATATAATGTAGAATTACATCTCAACTCTTGACCCACAGCTCTGCTCCTGACCAAGAGACAACCAGTCAGTATGTCAAAGGGTATGATTCATCTCCTCCTAAAGCAGTTGCTCAAAATAGGCCAGATATTGTGGTCAGATGAAAAATACCTGTATCCTTTAATTACTTATAAAATGAGTCTAGACAACTAGCTCAACTTGAGATGTCTAGATTATAAATTTAGCTAAATATAGACAATACTGACATCTAAGTCTGAATATTTTTCAGTCTTTAATGTACTTATCTTCACTGCATCCCTCTAGAGTAAAGGACTGCTCTTAGCCCTGTTTTACCACCAACAGCGTAAGGTTTGGGTATTAATAGCAGTGATGCTGTTGTAGAGGAGACCTCAACCTGGATCAGCTGCCATGGCAACTGTGCAAGGCCTGGGCTGAGCTTGCACAGTCTGTGTGAAAACCATGCTGGGGCAGGTTCTCAGCTATCAGCACCTGAGGGAGGTCAATCAAAGCCATCCTGGGTGTATCTGTCACCACCACTGGGACTGCAGGGGAGATGGAGTCAAAAAGAAAATTGCCCAAAGCTGCACAGCCACTGCTTTTCTCCTTTTATTTTAAAGCTTGGGGATTGCCTTCAGGTGCACTGTGAGATCTGCTCAAAAGATGAGGAACACACTCCCCAACCTCACTTCAAACCACACTCAACATGCTGTCTAAGGGTGCTCAAACATGTTGAAGAGCTCAACTAGCAAAGGTATTTCCCACCCCAAACCACACACTGTCAGTGTCAGGTGTCCTACATGAACAGGATGAAGGCCTGATGGTTAAAACCTACAACAGTTCACAAGGAGGACAGAGAAAGGGGGAAACCACACTCCTGCTCTCAGATGGTTTCAATCCTCCCATTGTTAGGTGGGCTTTCAGGGACTTGGACAGACCCGTGGTCTGGAGTGCTGCTGCTTAGAAACACTGCAGTGCTGTGGTCTGACACCAAAGAGTCCCCTTTTAACATAAGCTTTGTCCATGAATACACTCCATTGAGGGTTTGTGAGTACCAGTTCCATTACCAGTCTGGAAATATTGCCCTCTGTGGTGTCTTATCAGGGGAATCCTGAACCTGGAAATGTGACTTTTCTGTTAGAGCCCTTATAGAAGGCAGGGACTGGGCACACTGGACCCAAGGATTTCTTTCTTTGCTTGTTACCTCAACTGTCTGTGACCTGTGCCAGTGCCATGGTCTAGTTGACAAGATCATAGGTTGGACTCGATGGTCTCAGAGGTCTTTTCCAACCTAATTGATTCTGTGATTCAAGACAAGTAGGTGCAGATGTTTAGAGTAAGGTGAGGAGAGTGGCCCACTGGGTTTTTTTCTTTTGATTTTGAATCAATGATTTGTTTCAATATAAAATAATAACAAACTTAATAGGGGTCAGACATAACCTAATAAAACAAACGATATGAAGGAATAGGACTGGAGAAAGAAGAGAGAACATCTAATGAAAGAGGAACTAAAATTAAAAGACAGCACTGCCATGAAGAGTGTGATCATCACAAATGATTTTGAGATGAGAATGAGAACAGTGTGGTTAAACAAGAGTGCAGGGGATTTCTGGAAGAGCCTCTCATTATGATGTAGTGGCTACAGCATACCCTCACTAGTTTCAGGATGGGGTTTGCTCAGTTTACAAAATGAGTTGAATGAGACACTTAAATGAGACAGGCAGAGTCAGAATGGACCGACTCACTCACATTGGGCTACAGCCTGGACTGCTGACCTTCCCTGTCTCATCAAATCTCACTGGATCACTGAACCCTCCTGTGAAAACATGAGCAACAGTGGGAAGATGTGTCATGGTGTTGCATTTTCTGGAAGCTCACTATTTGTAAACCTACTGTGGTTCTACCTGAAGGGAAAAGGGATACTTATTTCTGATTCTGGATGTAAGGGAGGATATAACATATACCCAAAGGCAAATCCATGTGCCAGAGAACATGTGAGGGGAGGTTGCACCTCACCTGAAAGACTGATGCCTAGTTTTGGCCAGTTATCAGAGAATCCTGGAATGGTTTGGGTTGGAAGGGACCTTAAAGATCATCTAGTTCCAATCCCGTCACATATAGGGACAACTTCCACTAGAGCAGGTTGCTCCAAGCCCCATCCAACTACTGGATCCATTATTTATGTTTCCAATATAGGCAATGGTGAAAGAGAGACAACCCCACCGAGGATATGACTTAGACATGTGCAGTTAATTAGACCTTTCTCTCTCTTGCTCCTCTGGGTAAAAAACCAGTTTAAATAAATGTTGGGCACCTAAGACAAAGGGCATACGTAACATGTAAATTGTCAGAGCACTGTCATGGGAAATCACCCCACAAAGAACACGGGACCTGAAATGCAGAGGGATGTTGGCTCCCGAATGCTCATTTCTCTCCAGACGTCACCAAATGCTGAGATATTGTTAGAGAAAATTTTCCTTCTTTATTCTGGAGTGAAATTTGGTTTTTCTCAGCAACTAGTGTGAAGAGATACTTACTCAGCCAGTGAAGCCAGATTAGATTTATCATTTGTGCTTCAAATCAAGCCAATCAAGTCAAAAAGAGTCACCTGGAGATGAAGATGTGAGTCTAAACAAGGAGTTGTCCAAAAGGCTTTTATGATATGGTTTGAGACAGGATAAAAAGTAGTAGCAAAAATTCTGCCTTCTTGTACAGCTGGAGCCATTCCCAATGGACTGGGCACATGGAAATAGACTGCACTTAGAGGGGTGAGGGCAAAGCATTTCTTAGTGACAGAATAATTCACTGCAATTGGGATGTGACCAGAGTGCAAGCAGAAAAGGTTAAGCTAAAATTTATCTCTTGCAATTGAAGTCAGAATCAAAATGTTAGCTTAACTTTAGGTCAGAAAAGAAAAAGGAAAACTGGTTGTGACTACTATAATTAAAAAAAAAAAAAAAAAGGACACTGAAAAAGCTATCACACAGTGGAAGAGTAATAGAAAAAGAGAAGGTAAAATTCAAACATGGTTGTTAATCTCCATAAGAGATTAATTCAGTAATTCATTAAGCATTGGTAGAGTCAGAACCATGCCCTAGAGTCAGCATTAGCACATTTATGACCTAAAATTACCAGCACTTGCCTGTAATAGCCCAAAGATGCTACAGACTGCCATCAGTGCTTAGAGCTTAACAAAAGGGCTCTGGAACACAAATTATCAGCCTCACCCCTATGGAACTGTAGTTGCTTGAGAGGACCATGATTATCTGAGGAGAGAGCTCAGGTCTCTGTGTTGATCCCTGATCTGTCTTTTTCTTGCAAATTTTCCTCTTTCAGAATTACCC